AAAAAAAAAAAAAAAAAAAAAAACCTTCATGACATTGCCCATAAAGTGACACTTAATACTTAATGGTGTATATGTTTTGAGAGAAAATACCCACAAACTTTAGAAAAAAACCTTGCATGTAAGGGCTTCTTGAAATAGCTTATCTATCAAATGTGAGATATCCTCCCTTCGGAGGAGTTGGAGCAGGAAGTGAGTGTAACAAATATATATTGACGGGTATGGGATAAAAACAAATTATGCAGAAATGAGAGAAAGGATGGTGCCTATTATTGGAACACATGTCTTACACCCATTTTCATCAGTGCTGGGTACAGAATATGAAGAAGGCCTTTCAGGGTTTTTTTCCTCCGAGCATTAAGCCAATCTGAATTCCCTTCGGCAGTGAAGCATTAAAGATATAGTGTTACCCTGGAAATATAAATTATTAATATATTCAGTATTTTTGTCACTTCTCAACTGTTAACCAAATTAGACAAAACTTTCTTTTACTAAGTAGATTTTCTCTTTGGGATTAACTTTGGGAATGCTCAGGGCCACCACAGTAAAAACTTTGGTCATTTACATATAATTTTGCAAACTTCCACTGGTCCATGACAGTCTTTGTACCTCAAATGTTGGTATTCTTGATTTTTTTTTCCTTCTCATTTAACTGTGGAGGATAAACCCTGCTTTGGATTTACAATGACTTTAGGATAAAAGTCTCCCTCTCTTTTCTCCCCCTCCCCCTTCCTCACCTCTCACAGGCATCACTAAATACCAGAGGAACAAATAAAGTTAATTCAGAGCAACTTCAGAACAACACCATAGAGTTGAGATACACATTTAAATCCTACCTGAATTTTTACTTAACAAAGGTAAACTGTAGTGCCAGCCTGTGGCCTGGTGGTTAAGTTGGCTAGACCCTACATGGCTGATTCTTCCGTTCGAGTCCCAGACCCAGGGGTTTGAGAAACACACCAAATGTGTGTGTGTGTGTGTGTGTGTGTGTGTGTGTGTGTTTTGTGTCTTTGCTGAAACCTTCATCCAAAGTCCCAAAGTCCCAATTCTCCAGCTTGGCCAAATATCAAACTTGGAATAGTTTGACTTTACAAAAGATTAAAAATGTTACCACAAAATGGAATGGATTCAAATCAGGTTGCGTCTTTACTGTGCTCTTCCTGCGCTTTCTCTGACAACAAGTTACTTCCAGTCTCCCTGCCTCAGACCCTCTTACCCAGCCCCCTCCTGTCTGAGTCTCTTACACCCAATCCCTCCACTCTTTCTTTAAGTAAGTTGTATGGTAATGGTTTCCAAGAGAGGCCCAATCAAACCCAGAAATAACAAAATACAAAAAACAGTGGGTTTGGCTGGAGGTGACCCATTGTGATGCCTCTGAAAGGGGCAACCTCTTGTTTCTTGGGCTTCATCCTTGAATGGGCAAGAAGAAAAATAATCATCCCCATGAAATCAAAGGTTTTCTCTAGAGGCTTGAAGAACAAAGCTGATGGCTGGTGCTCTGGGTCGGTCCCCTGGCTCTGCAGGGCTGGAACTAGTGGCTTCCAGGCACTCCAGCCACCCCTGCCGAAAGGGTGGTAATACAGAGCTCACTTGTGCTCTCAAGCGTTATTGAACAAAGACAGCCCCGTGTAACAGTAGGGGCCCTCCAGTCTGGGCTACTAGATGCCAGGAAAGGAAGGTAGACACGCTTCCATGTAGGCACCCAGGTCAGCCCTCAAACATGTGGAATTCCTACGAATCTGGAAGTGGGTTTCTGCACAGAGCAGCACAATAAAAAAAATTTTAAAAGGCAGGTGACATGGGCATGCAGTAGGGGCTCAATAAACATTTGTGGCATGGTGAAATGAACTGCCAAACAGTGCTGAGTCTCCTGGAATTCTGTATCAAGTCCCCCCTAGATCTCTCATTTCTGGCCTTAAGTCCCTTCCCTGGGTCGGCAGAGACCAGCAAGTAATCATACATCCACCTGGCAACAGTGGAGTAACTTACATGCATTCTGAGAATTATCAGAAGGAACAAGTCCTGCCTTTACCTAGAAATGAACATCCTGAAGCCTTGTGGAATGGCAGCAGGCGACAATGCCAGGCCTGCTCTGTGAAGACAAGAGCTTCCTGTAGTCACAGATACGTGCATACCCCAAGTCCAGGTCTTAGAGTCAGAGCTAGCCTGAGGAGATTCGATTACTTTCATCTGGAAAAGATCCAAGACTGGGCTGAGTCAGATTCCTCTCCCCTTTCTGCTCCTTATTTATGCGAGTGTGGTTCCCAGAGCTAAACTGTCTGGATTTGCGTTCCAGCTCTGCTGCTTACTAGCTGTGCAACTTTGGGGAAGTTGCTAAGTCTCTCAATGTTCATTTCATCATCTATAATAAAGAGATATTAAAGGTGCATATATTATATATATATATATACATACACACACACACATACACACACACACACACACACCATTACAAACACTGTTTTCCTCTCACCCCTTCTTCCAAAGAGTCAGATCCTTGGGGCCACCTCAAACTAAAAACAAATTGCTCAGGCAAATTAACTCCATGGCTTTTTCTTAACCTCCAAGGCTTGTCCTGAGTAAGACAATTTTCTTGGTTCAGGACAAGGGAGGGTAGGGATCTTTACTTTCATCCCATGGTCCATCTTAGGGCTGTGAGCTCCACTCCAGCTATGACTAATAATTCGGAATGCTATCTCTAACACTCTTACTACAGAAAGTTGACCATATATTATTGAACCAAAGTTCTTAGGCTTCATTCTCACACTCCCTGCCCAATTACACATTCCAGAGCCTCGTAACACAAATCTAGGCCATTTCCTACTTTTTTTAAACATGAGAGAAATAAACAGATTCAATATTCCTTAAATGCAAGTCTATGGCAGCTCTCTGTTCTTTTCAGCGTTTCTCCCATCTTTCCCATTCAAGTTTTTCCTTTTGTCCATCTTATTCATCACCTTCAGCTCCATGCCTGGTTCAGGTTTGGGTCTAAAGATTCAACCCTCGCTGTATGTAAAGCTCTGCTGCAGACCCCAGCTCCTGTATCGCAGCCCCTGCCTCTCACCCCCTTTTTCCTTTGTCCTTCAATTCTCATTCTCCCTCAGTTTGTTTGTTTGTTTCTTTCTTTCTTTCTTTTTTTCTTTTTTTGAAGAGGTTTTGCTATAGGGCACATGCGATCACCAAAAAGATAGAAACAGAGAGACAGAAGGCAAGAAATCATCCCCCAGGGGGGATGGCCATGCCACAATCCCTTCTCCTCCATTCTCCTCTCGGGATCTTGGGCATGCACGCACATGCATTTGGCGTGA